TCTTTTTTTTTTTTTTAGAGAGAGAGAGAATTTTTTTTTTAATATTTATTTTTTAGTTATCAGCGGACACAACATCTTTGTTTGTATGTGGTGCTGAGGATCGAACCTGGGCCGCACGCATGCCAGGCGAGCGCGCTACCGCTTGAGCCACATCCCCAGCCCGATAAGAACATTTTGCACACCTAAAGACATAAGTAATTTAGTGCTTGACAGAATTTTTTAAAAGAAATCTTCATAACCAAGATGCATGGGCTGAATTACCTTTCCCCAAATCATATGTTGACCTCAGAATGCAAATTTATTTGGAGGCAGAGACTCTACAGAGGTAAATAGGTTAAAATGACCCTTTGGATTAGCTGTAATTCACAATGACTGGTAACCACAGAAGAGGAAATGTTCAAAGGAAGACAATAGGAAAACACAGGAAAAGACCAATATCTACACACTAAGGGAAGAGGACTGGAATTCCCAATAATCATTTTTCTTTATGGATGAATAACATTCCATCGTGTACATACGCCACATTTTCTTCACCCATTCATCTGCTGATAGACACCTAGGCTGGCCCCTTTGGTTGGCTGTCACTCACTGTGCTGCCGTGGACATGGCTGTGGGTCGCTAGACTGTGAGTCTGTGAGTCTTGGTTTTCTGAACTGTGAAATGGACATAATGTCTATGTTTCAATCTTGATAAGTAAAATAGAATGAAAAATTAGAAATTGGCCTGAGGCCACTCCACAGAGATGTGGTGTCAAGGGAATGCATGAGAACTTCAAGAGTTGACATTTCAACTAAAATCCTGGCTAAGGCGTGCCAGCTGAGTACCATCCAAGGAGCTGGGGCCTTTTGGAGAGCGCTTACTTTAAATGCTTATTATTCTTCCACAAAAAGAAAGGGACTTGCTTCAAGCAGTAAAAGGAAGCAGAAACAAGTCTGATGAGAAGTGATTTAAAGAAAATGGATTTTCAGGGTCTTAGATGCAGCTCAGTGGTGGACTCCTCCTTGATATGCAGGAAGCGCTGGACTCAAACCCCCAGAACCACAAAGAAAAGAAATTAAGACAAAGTTTGTTAGTGATAAGCCCATCCCAATTCCCTCTAGGTCAGGAGCCATCTTGTCAAGGCTGGCTAGGTTGCTGGGCCCATGCCGTGGGGAGCAGTCTGGACTTGGCTAGGGGACAGGGCTGGGGGGGAGTCTGGGAGCTTGGCTAGGGGCGGGTCAGGCAGCACTGCAGAGGGGACACGTGATGCCAAGGTGAATTTTAACCTGGCAGGTGTGAGGTGCCAGGGGACGTCCAGGGCAGGGTTCTTGCATTGTTGGGTCGAGCTCAGGAGCATGGCTGGGAAGAGGCCTCTGAACGGCGGGAGGTGCAGTGCCTCTGGGGAGGGCTGGGCAGGGGCTGCCTGGGTAGCAGGAGCCCCTCCAACCTGCTGCCCTCTGCGGCTTCCTGTCCCCTGCAGCATCCTCGCTCTCCAGGTCCCCAATGCCAAGAAGCTCCAGCGGAAGGAGCAGCTATGGGAGAAGCTGGCGAAGCAGGGCGAGCTGTCCCGAGACATGCACAGGGCCCAGGCCTGGCTTCTCCACCCTCCTGTGGCCAAGAGCAAGCCTGGGCCCAAGGACACCATCCAGCAGCTCTTCTATGACCTCTGGGCCCCGGACAGTGAGTGTTCTCGGTGTCACCTGCAAACAGGGCTGGGACTGACATGGACAGTTGTGTGGTTTGCGTGCTGCATGGGAGCACTGCGTCCAAGGGCTGCCCCAGCAGAGTTGAGCACCCTGAAGTGGTGCCCTCTCCCCTGTGCTCCCCTTTCTGCAGTTGTGGGGTCTCGCGCCTCAGCCTGGGGTTAGGGTCATTGCCTGAACCCAGTCTGGCGGTGGGCTGGCTTGGTGTTTGTGAATCTCTCTTCCTCACCTGAGCGTCAGAGCCATTTTTTGGAAATGAGGAGGGGTTGGAGGGAGGCCCTGGGGGTCCCAATGCCAGAAGCCCCAGAGCTGCTCGCTGTCTCTGCAGACCCTCTGGACAGGGACAGGATGCCTTCTTCCTGGAGCCGACCAAGAAGAAGGGAGTGAGGGTGAGGAGGGGAAGGCGGCTGGGGGCGGGGGCGGGGGCGGGGGTGGGAGTGGCAGGAGCCCTCTGCTTCCTGGTGGCAGTCTCTGCCTCTGCCTCAGTGCCTGCCATCCAGGTGACCAGGCTCCTGCCTGCTGTCCCAGCTCCAGCCTGGCTGATGTGCCGCGTCCTTTCTCACCTGCAGACAGCAGAAGGACTTAATTCACAGGGCAGTTGGGGAATTTAGAGGTGACATGGAGCCGCTGTGGCCAGCACATTAGGCATTTTTTATTTGTGGCCGTCTGTACTGGAGAAGGAGACCCTGAGTGTTAGGAGCCAGGGTCTTGGGGTCCAGCTTCATTCAGGTGACAGGTGTCGGCTTCCTGCTGGGCGCGGCAGCGCAGCCACGGGAGCCTGTAGAGTCTGAGGGTGCGGCACCCTCCTCCCGGGTGGTGTCTCTGTGCGTGGGCTGCCCATGGCACCAAGACTTGGGAGGGGTGGGAGGTCGGGCGACGCGTGGGAGTCCGGAAGCCTTGCTGGAACAGTGCCAGCGGCCTAGGGATACAGAGGGGGGCAGCGCCAGCAGAGACTGCTGGCCAGCAGGTGCACAGGCCACCAGGCAGGACAGGCACTGTGCAGGAGCCTGGAGGAGGCCAGTGCAGCGGGGGGCTGCAGGCCAGGTGGTGGGGTTGTTGTGACTGGGGTTGGGGAGGCCACCAGAGGGTTTCCTGCAGGACGCAGTGCAGTGCAGGCACTGGGCAGGCACGAGGGGCCAGGTTCACCCAGAGCCAAAGTTATTCAGTGGTTCCTGAGCCAGCATGGGCTGGTGGGGACCAGAACAGAGTTCCAGGACAGAAGCAGCAGGCTCACAGGGGCTGGGTATAGAGAGCTCTCATGGCATCCTCGTGACCCCTTTTCTTGTGACCAGTGACCTTAGCTGGGACACAGACCTAATGGGGAGGAGGGACAAGCACTCCTGGAGAGTACAGTGGGCACTTGAATCACGTGTGGCCTTGTGAAAACGCAGGTCCTGGTGGCTCACATTCCCAGGAGCTCCGGGCTCCCCTGGGGTGCTCAGGCCAGCTGAGCAACAAGACTGTAGAAAGCATTTTTCCATCATGCCTTGCTCTGCCAGAGGGGGGCGCTCAAGCCTCTGTGGCACAGCTGGAGGTACAGTGACTACCACTAAGCACTCCCACTGCAGGGGACGACACCATGTGGCCTGTCACCTGGAGAGCTGACATTCCTGCCTGCGGGCAGCTCCCCTGCCCCCAGGACACCTGTCTGCCACTGGAGGGATGCTGGGTCCCACAGGCCATGGAGCCAGGCAGCTGCAGCCCTGGGGCCCAGCACTTTGGGTTGTGAGGTTGCAAGCGCCAGGCCTCCCGGGCTGTCTGGTCCCTTGGTGCTGCTGTGACAGAACCCTGGAGGCTGGGAGATGAACAAGGGATAGAGGTTTATTGCTCACAGTGTAGAGGCTGAGAGCCCAGGACGGAGGCAGCAGCAGGTCTGGTGTCTGGAGGGGGCTGGTCGCTGCCTCCTGGGGGAATCTTGAAGCCCAGCCTTCATGGTCCAGGAGGCGGAAGGTGAAGGGGGGACGCTGGTGAAGCCCCTCTAGGAGGAGTCACTCTGGGACTCACTCATCTCCTGGAGGCCCTGCCACCTCATGTCATCACATGGGCAGTTAGGCTTCAGTGTGAGTTTTGAGGGACACCTTCAGGCCTCAGCCTGCCTCGGCCTTGCCTTCCTTCAGCGGCCACCTGGTCTCCACATCAAGCCCTCCCCGGCACCTGCTGTGGAGGTGACACCTGCAGGAGCCTCCTACAACCTGACCTTCGAGGACCACCAGGTGGGTGCAGGCCCCAGCCTGGCCCTTCTGGGTCCAGCTCTGCTACTCGGTCAGTTTGCTGTGCCAGCCCTGTGCTGGGTGGCACTGGGGACTCAGATGAGACTGAGAGCCCTCTGAGGTCTGTTCCTAGACAGCAGTGACCCAGGATGCCTGGGGCTGGGAGTGTGGCACTTGCCCAGCCGGGGCGGCCTGGAAGGGGGGGTGTCTGCACTCAGAAGGCTGAGGAGGGGAGTAGGCTTTCCAGGCGGAAGGAACAGTGTGTGCAAAGGCCCGAGGTGGGGACCCCAGCACCCTTTCAGGAGGGAAGTCCTTGATGTAGATGCCAAGGCCTCAGATCCAAAGACGGGCAGCTTGGCAGTGGGGAGATCTGACTGAGTTCAGGTTCACTTCCCAGTCATTTGTTGGAGCACAGATATTGTGAGCCAAGGTGACAAAGCCCCTTGTGTGCTCCCTGGAGGGGCACCTCTCAGGGACAGGGTGCTAGAGAGTTCAGGGTCACTGCCCCAGGGGCAGATCCAGTGCTGGGAAGTGTCCAGTTGCCAGGCAGCCTCTCCACCAATCAGGAGGAGAGGATGTCCGGGGGTGGGGGTGGGGGGTGGGAATGCATGTGCAGGAGGGGGGGGGGGGTGCATCCATCACCCCTGAAAGAAGCTGACCGCCCATTTGCTGTTGCCACCGTGTCCCCGCCTCCCCTAGACTCAGGCAACCCCAGTCTTCCTGGCCTAGGAGCCTGATTATTGTGGACATTTTATCTTGGTGAAATTCTAGTGTGTAGCAGCCACAGAAGGGACAGGGCAGGTGTGAGGGTCGGTTAGAGCCCCTCGGGAGTGGCAGGGGCCTGAGCATGGGGCGGGGCTGGAGCGGGGCTTGGGACTTGCAGGAGCCCTGGGTCCTCATGTCTCCCCCGACTCTCTCCAGGCCCTGCTCTTGGTGGCCCATGAAGAGGAGCTTCAGCGCAAGAAAGAGGCAGGAAAGCTGGAGCCCTTGGTGGCCCTGCCCGCCACAGAGCAGGCTGCCACCCAGGAGAGCGCAGCCTGCCCCGCCCCCTGCCCCACCCGCCTGGTCCCCTGCCCCTGCTCCCCACCCTGTCCCCTTCCCACACCCAGCCCCCTGCCCCACCCGCCCCTGTCCCCTGCCCCCTGTGGCGCGGAGACCTCACAGGCACCTGGCCGCCTGCCCTCCATGGAGAAGGAAACAGCAGCAGAGGTGGTGGGAGAAGGCCGCGCGGAGGCTGGTGAGCCCTGCCCCGGCCCCTCCTGGACTCCTCTGCCTTCCCGCCCCGGCCTCCCCTCCTCTGCCCTGGGGCTGCAGGTTCTGCTGTCTGGGGCCTCACCCACTGTCTCAGCTGGGACCGTCCAGCCACCCTGGGGAGGGGCAGCAGGGCAGTGAGCAGGGTGCAGCCCCTGCCTGGGCTCATGGCGGGGACTGAGGGCCAGAGAGGACTTTGGAGGTGATTCCGGAGCACAACTAGTGAGGGACGTGAGGGACACTGATGGGCATGGAGGCGACAGGAGAGGCTGGGCCGTGGGCTTGGAGGGCGGGGGGGGGGGGGGGGGGGGGGGGGTTGGGGCACGTGGTGAGTCTGAGCCCTCACCCCGCCCTCAGAGGGTGCAGCAGGCGTCGCTGTGGGCTGCCCGGCTCAGGCACCAGGAGTTCTTCAGGCTGTGCGGGATCAAGGCACAGGGGGCCCAGCGGCTGGTGGAGCTCAGTTCCCTGAGTCCAATCCTGGGTATACCCCCAAAGAAAAAGTGGAGCCAGGGAATCCCAAACACATCTCTCACTCTGAGATGGACCTTCCAGTGTACTCCTTGCTTTCCTAAATAAAGTCCTGTGCCTCTACTGATGCTGCTGAAATTCTTTTCTGTCATGAAAGTCCAAGACCCCACTTGTCCTGAGTTGAGTTCCCTCCATGGAAATGATCCAGGAATTCCTTAGGATCGCCATCCAGTGCCTCTTTTGTGGGTACAGATGACCCTCAGAAACTGCTGGGAGTGGTGGCAAACATCAGTAATCTCAGCAACTCGGGAGGCTGAGGCAGGAGGATCGCAAGTTCAAAGCCAGCCTCTGCAATTTAGGGAGGTCCTAAGCAATTTAGCGAGACCCTGTCTCAAAACACACAAAAAAGCTGGGGGTGTGTCTCAGTGGTGAAGTGCCCCTGGCTTAAATCCCCAGTTTAAAAAAAAAAAAAAAAAAGACTTAGGGTCAGTGAAAGCAAAAACCGAGAAGTTCTGTGCATGTCTTGTACTGCGTCGCCAATAAAAGTACTGATTTTATGCCAAATGATTCTTAACTCAATTTTTTTTTATGGTGCTGGTGATTAGAACCCAGGGCCTTGTGCATGCAAAACAAGCACTCTACCAACTGAGCTATATCCCCAGCTTAGTTCAATATTTTTAATGGGAGGAAAATCTGAGGGAATGTGTTTGCTATGTCCCCACAAGAGCATGCACGGAGCCCACTGCGGCCGAGCACAGGGAGGGGGATAGGTGGATCCCAGAGATGCAGCAGACTCTGCAGAGCTCCAGGCAAGTGGCTAGCACCAGGATTTCCTGAGCCAGCTCAGCCATGGAGCTGGAGAGGCTGAGTGGGAACTGCTCCCAAGGGGGAGCAGGCTGTAGGAATTTGGAATTCTAAAGTTTTAAAATGGGAGTTTGCCTTACATTCCAAACCTGTGAAAACTGTCCATTCTTCTTTCCCTAATGTAAATACAAGTTTTATTTTATAAAATGAGTCTTTCTATCCTTAAGGAACAATGTGGGTGATTTGTGATTTATTTATTTTATTATTTTATTTTATTTTGTACAGGAGATTGAATCCAGCGGGGCTTAACCACTGAGCCACATGCCCTGTCCTTTTAATTTTTTTTTTTTAATTTTGAGACAGGGTCTCACTAAGTTGCTTAGGACCTCTCAATCCTCCTGCCTCAGCCTTCTGAGCTCTCAGAATACAGGTGCATGCAACAGCTGTGTTTTATTAACTTTTTCTTCCTATTCTTCCCTCTCTGAGCAGGGTGACTACTTGTCCCCAAAACCATTTCCAAATTAGGAAATTTTCTAGAAGGGCCTACGGGAGCCAGTATGTAGTTGATTTATTTGTGTCAGAATAAAGACACGCACTAGATCTAAAGGAGAAAATGACCTAATGGGTGGCTCAGAGCAGCTTAGCTGCCCCAGTGAAAAGACAGCAATCTGTGTGTTGCATTTCTGCCCAGCGAAGCCCATCAGAAGCTCAGTACCCCAGGTTTTCATTGGCGGAGTCACCATGCACCTGTGTCTGGATGTTCCAGAGGAGAGCAGGTGTGTGCAGTTCTGAGCAGTCCAGGTACACTGACCTACCCTCATCTCGCCTTTTTTTGCAGTTCTAGGGATTGAACCCAGGATCTCCCACATGCCAGGAAAGCACTCTGCAATTAAGCTATGTCCCCAGCCCAAGCCACTCTAATCATTAGGACATGGAGGGATGCATGTACCAGCAAATTTCCCAGAGGCAAGCAGATCAGAGTGGATCTTGCAAGCAGAGCTGTATGAGGACGGCAGCCCCAGACTTCTATGTGAACTCCTTCTTGCATTCCACAACCCACCCCCCCGCCCCGTCCCATGTGCAGATGAATCTTCATTGCAAGGGATTATGTGGCAATGATTGCTGTAGACAAGGTAGAGAAATCAGATCTGGAGAGGAAATCAAGATCTAAAAGAACAGCCAGGGGCTGGGGGTGCAGCTCAGTGGTGGAGCGCTTGCCCGGATGCTCCAGGCTGTGGGCTCAATCTGCAGCACCACAAAACAAACAAAAATTTCAGTTATTTGTTCATTTATTTTGAGATGGGATCTTGCCCAGTCTGGTCTCCAGCTCCTGAATTCAAGTCAGCCTCCTGCCTCAGCCTCCCATATTGCTGGGACCTTAGGCACAAAGCTCTGCCCTGGCCCATGGAACTCCTGATGGTCCTGAACCCAGGGGTACTTTAGCGCTGAGCTCCATCCCTAGCTCTTTCTTATTTTTATTTTTATCTTGAGGACGGCTCTTGATAAATTGCTGAGGGTCTCCCTACATTTCCCAGGCTGTCCTTCAACTTGAGATTCTCCTGCCTCAGCCTCTGGAGTCACTGGGATTACAGGAGGTGGGCCACTGGCTTATAAAATTTATTTTCGATAAACTTAGAGACCTAGGAGGCAGGAACCACGGGCTACCATGCATCTCTAAGTGGGGGACCCTGTGCATGGTGGTATTGAGTGACAGCGACTCTATTGAGCATGTCCGTGTGGTGTTTGCGGGTCTGTGTTGTGCTGCGGTGTTCGAGATCCATGTGAAAGTCTGGGAGTGCGTCTGGGTGAGTGTGTGTTCGGAGAGTTGTGTGTGTGTGTGTGTGTGTGCCTCCAAGTGCAGCAATGTGTGTCTTGTCCCTGGATGAATGACAGCATGCCCTATCATGTTACTGAGCAGCTGTGTCTCTGCAGGGCTGGTGTGTCATGGGCGTTAGCGATCGAGTCTGTGCAGCATGGTGCTTGGTGCCTGACTGTGGGTCCCAGGGGCTGGCTCTCTGGGTGGCCTTTGTGTTCCTGGGCGGATACATGTGTGTTGTGTGTTGGGCGCTGGGTACTGTCACCCATCCCACCCTGCAGCAGGCTGGCGGTGGCTGCGCCTGTGGATGTGTCGTGATGTGGCTGGACACGGACAGGCCATCGTGGTGTCCTGTGGCTGAATAAAGACGGGTGCTGATGTGACTGTGTCTCAATTGTGCTGGGTTTGGGCGAATGTGCAGTTCTGCAGTCGGGGGAAGGGGTGCTGGTGTCCTCCTGGGGGCTGTGTGAGACACACAAGGGCACGGATGAGTGCCAGCCTGCGGCCACTGATTTCTCTGACCTCTCCTGCGGGGCAACAAGGACCCCTTTGTTCTCAGTGACAGAAGAGGAACGTCCCTCCTCTCGTGAGGTCCTGGCAGTGCTCTGCCACTGAGCCGTGCCCAGGGACTGCTTGTCCCCGCCATCACTGGTATGCACTATAGAGCCACAGAGAGATCACCTGGGGCCCTCTGAACAGTGCTGTTATGGGTTGAACCGTGTCCTGCACAAAATTCCTATGTGAAATCCTAACCCCTAACCTCTGAACATGACCTTATTTGAAAATAGGGTCATTACGGACATGATTAGTTAAGGTGAGGTCACATTGGGGTACAGCGGGTCTCTGCTCCAACATGGTTGTTAAAAACCAGGGCACATGGACACCGACACCCGTGGACATGGCCCGTGAACACGAGGTGAGACCAGGTGGGGTCTCTGCAACCACAGAGGGAGGGAGCGCCAGAGATCCAGCAGGAGGCAGAGGGCAGGAACAGAATGTGCAAAGGCCCAGAGGCAGGGCTGTGGGTGAGGTCCTTGATGAAACCTCAGTAGAGCTGGGGTTTTGGCAGCATTGGAGGGGCCAGAGAGACACCCTGGGACCAGGGAGAAGTAGGTCATGCTACGCTTTGGGTCGTTGTTCTGAGGGCACTGGCTCTATTTATGAGGCACTCACACTTCACGCTGCCCCGTGCTAATTGCTATTCCTACACTTGCTCCTTAAATCTGATACCAGAGATGGGACCTTCTGACCCAGTGAGCACCACAATGACATTGGGCCAGAGAGCAGGAGCACACAGGTAAGGCTTTAATTGGGTGGCTTAGCCTCAAGGAGAGGGGACACCACACTGATAGAATTAGGCTAGGTCCCCAAACAAAGCAAGAAGCTATTTTTTACTTATCTGTAAGGTTATAGGACGTGGGTTAGGGATTGGGATGTTTTTTGTTCTGGAAATCAAACCCAGGGCCACTGAATCACTGAGCCACATCCCCAGCCATTTAAAAACATTTTTTACTTAGAGACAGGGTCTCTCTGAGTTGCTGAGTCTGGCTTTAAACTCTAGATCCCCCTACCTTGGCCGTCCGAGACCAAGGCCACGGTGCCCAGTGTGTTTAGAAATTTTAATGGAGTTTAGATCTTTTAAAAAAATTTTTTTCCCCACGTGATCACTTTGAGAATTGGTCAGTGTCAGTTTAGAGCCCAACTTTACATCTGTCCTGTTGATGCTGTATCCCTTTTAACCTGTTTGCCCCACAATAAGGTCACTGCAGCTGTTAAGAGAACACACGGGTATGGCTTTGCACACCTGTAATCTCAGCGACTGGGGGGGTCTGAGGCTGGAGAATCACAAGTTCAAGGCCAGCCTGGTAACTTAGCCAGACCCTGTCTCAAAATAAAAAGGGCTGAGGAAGTAGCTCAGGTGTAGGGTGTAGGGTTTGTCTTGAGTCCTTTGCCCTGATCCCCCAACAATTTCCTTCTCTTATCTAGTTTATCTTTGAAAATGTTCAGGGAAAGATATCTTGGCTAAATGAGGCATCTGGTTTGGTTTGGTTGGGTTTTGTACAGGGGAGTGTGTGTGTTTGAATCAGGGGCCTGTGCCTGCCACTTGCTGGGCAAGTGCTCTACCACTGAGCCACATCCTCCACTTCTTTTTTTAGTACCCATGGCGGTGCTCAACCATGGAGCCACACCCTCAGCCTTTTTTTCTGTTAGAGACTGGGTCTCCCTTAGTTGCTAACTGCCTCCCTAAGTTGCTGAGGTGGGCTTTGAACTCCTGCCTGGGCCTCCCAAGTCACTGGGATTACAGGCTTGCGCCACCACGCCTGGCTTTATGTTTAATTTAGATACTGACTACTGGATCTGAGAAGAGGAGGAGTTCAGGTTGGTCATGTTGAGTTTACGGTGCCCAAGTACAATCATCGTGGACATCAAGGAAGCACAGGTTCCACAGCTGGAGTTCAAGGGATTAGGGTGGCTTTGAGACACAGTCAAGAGCTGGCCACTCTGGGACAATAAGCACTGGAGCTGAAGGCATAGCTCAGCTATAGCATGTTTAGCATGTACAAAGTCCTGGGTTCCATCCCAACACCAAAAAATAGCAAGGCACTGGAGTGAAAATACTGGCTTGGAGGGTAAGACTATATGCAGGGGACTGATGATGGCATAACGCCATGATCTCTTCTTGGGCCTTTATACTACAGAATGTTCCATTATTTAGTTCTTGGTGAGTATTCTTTGGGGGAAGGGGAAAGAAACACTGACCTCATTTCCACTCTGCTCTCTAGGTTCAAACAGAAGAGGAAAGGGCCTACTATGGAAAAAAGAAAAACGATACATTTGTTAAGCACTTAATATGTGCTGGGCCCTGTGCTAAACACCAAAGATGAATTATCTTCTGGAAAACAGAACAATCCTGGCACAAAAGTCCTATGACTACCATTTCACAGATGGGACACTGAGGCTGGGAGAAAAAGAAAGGGGGAGCTCAGGGCTGTCATGTCACAGCCCACAGTTAGGCATCTCTGGGCCAGATGGAGAATATTGAAGTAGAACAATTATAATACACAAGGGCTGCTACTTAGTGAGGGATGGCTCAGACTGGGAATACAATCTCCGCAAATCCTTACAACCTGCTCAGGGTGATACTGTTATTGTCCATTTTTATAAACGCAGAACCTGAGATCACAGGAGGGGAAATCAACTGGACCAGTGTTAAGTCTGACCCGCTGGGAAAACCAAGACTACAGCCAGAGCCCCACGCTAAGAGGGTTTATGGGCCACTAGGAAAACGTTGAATAAATGATTCCATCCGCTCAGTACTATATACCAGCTGCAGCGCTCAGCATTTCAAACGTGGTATGTTCAATACATTTTCACAGCAACTTTATGAAGTGGATGCTATTTAACTCTCCATTTTATAGATAGAGAAACCGAGGCACTGAGAAGTGAAGTCAGTTGTCCAAGGTCACTGGGCTAAATCTGAATCTGAGTCTCTCTGCTTCACAAACCAAAGTGCTTCACAAAATAATCTAATAACCGCAACTACCTGCATTGAGTGCTAACTATGGACTCGGCTCCTCACATGATTCCATAATTTACCTACCATTACTCCCAAAGATACTGGGTAACTCGTCTACCCAAAAGAAACTAGCAAACCCTGTTAATGTATTTGTCAGCCTGGAAAATTGTTTCCTTCCATAAGGTTAAGTTAATTGCAGCCCCAACCCTAACTATGAAATTGCTTGAAAGCCCTGGGGACAAACTTGGGCTCCTTAGCAATAATGTCATTTAAGAACAGAGTAGGCCAAGTTTGCTTCTGTGATTGGGTCATTCTGGTGTCACCCTGTGAGACATTACCTGCAAGGCTGTATAAACCATGCATGGCCCTACCTCAAATTGTGGAGCACACACCACCCTCCTTTTGGACGGTCAAGTTTTCTTGTTATATGTACTCACGGTACTTGGTATTTTTAAACCAGATACAAGTCAGGCACAAGCAATTTGGAGGCTGAAACAGGAGAATCACTTGAACCCACAAACCCCTGGGTTTTGAAGGCCTTTTCTAACTCACTCCCCAGCCCTGTTCCAGAAGTAGGACCCAAAGAAGATACATGGAACAACAAGAACTAAAGGTAGTGACTGCAAATTTGCTATAGAAGACTACTTTCAACTCTGGGGCCTCCAGAAGGAACTAGTGAGGTAAGCCCAAGCTATAGGGCTGGCCCATATAGCCATCCACTGATGTTCAAGATCGAAGCAGATCATGCTGTCTCCTTAAATATGGTCTAAATGAGGGCCTGGGTTGTAGCTCAGTGGTGAAGTACTTGCTTAGCATGTGTGGGACATTGGGTTCCATCCTCAGCACTGCATATAAATACATAAATATGAAAGTCCATCAACAACTTAAAAAAAATAATTAAAAAAAAAAAGACCGTCCAAATGAGTATTGAATGTAGAGATGAAGGGAAAGAAAATGGGGGGAAAATAGGAACATAGCATTCAGCCTAGAAAAATGGAAAGAGAAAGAAGGAGCACTAAAGTCCCCAATTCCCACTGTGAGTAGATTTGGGGGTCAGAGAGCTTCCTTAGTATCATCTGGCAGAACCTCGTCCTCTTCTAATATAGAATCCAGAATTGTGAAATGGCTCTTAGTCTTGAATCTTCCCTGTGTAGCATCAAATGCATCCAAGTGCATGTTGCTCAGGTGTACAATGAAAAGAAGATCAACCACTCAGAATTACCTCAACTAATGAAAGCCATATGCAGTGATTGCATGTCTGTAATCCTGGCAACTTGGGAGTCTGAGGCAGGAGGATTGTAAGTTCAAACCCAGCCTCAGCAACTTAGCAAGACCCTAAGCAACTTAGTGTTGCAAAATAAAAAACAAAAAGCGCTCAGTGATTAAGCATCCCTGGGTTCAATCCCTGGTACCAAAAAAAAAAAAAACCCAGCAACTAAGGAACCACGCATGGTGGTGTACACCCATAATCAGTTACTCAAGAAGCTGAGGCTTCAAAGCCAGCCTTAGCAATTTAGCAAGACTATGTCTGGGATATATCTCAGTAGCAGAGCATTTGTCTAGCATGTTCAAGGCCCTGGTTCAATCTCCAGTACCACTACCACCAAAATAATAACAACAATGACGTAATAAACGTGAAGTTTTTTTTGTGGGCTCTACCACTCTATACATGCAAGATGATGATAGTAGTTTATTTTTTAAATAAAGGTCAATAGACCTTTATTTTAATTATTTATGTATATGTGGTGCTAAGAATCGAACCCAGTGCCTTACACATGCCAGGCAAGCACTCTACCACTGAGCCACACCCCCACTCCTGATGGTAAGTTTTGCTTGCTGCTTTCCCCCAAATCCCATCATCTAGTCTCTGTGCAACACAAACCGAGACTTAAGTCATCCTGGGTTCTACTGACCTTGCTTGGGGAGGCCCAGGCCATACTGATTGAGAATTCTTTTTTTTTTTTTATTGGTTGTTCAAAACATTACAAAGCTCTTGACATATCATATTTCATACATTTGATTCAAGTGGGTTATGAACTCCCATTTTTTACCCCGTATACAGATTGCAGAATCACATCGGTTACACATCCACGTTTTTACATATTGCCATACTAGTGTCTGTTGTATTCTGCTACCTTTCCTATCCTCTACTATCCCCCCTCCCCTCCCCTCCCATCTTCTCTCTCTACCCCATCTACTGTAATTCATTTCTCTCCTTGTTTTTTTTTTCCCATTCCCCTCACAACCTCTTATATGTAATTTTGTATAACAATGAGGGTCTCCTTCCATTTCCATGCAATTTCCCTTCTCTCTCCCTTTCCCTCCCACCTCTCGTCCCTGTTTAATGTTAATCTTTTTCTCATGCTCTTCCTCCCTGCTCTGTTCTTAGTTGCTCTCCTTATATCAAAGAAGACATTTGGCATTTGTTTTTTAGGGATTGGCTTGAGAATTCTTAATACACTAAAAAACAGTAACATCACATGTGAGGGTGCAAAAGATCCGCAGCAGAGCTTGTTGAAACCCAGATTGTTGGGCCCTACTCTCAGAGTTTTCAATTCAATAGTTCTGGAGTTTGGCTCAATAATTTGTATTTCTAACAAGTACTCAGGTGATACTGATGCTGCTGGCCAGGGAACACACTTTAGGAATCATTTCTCTAAACTGCTGATGTTTTCTTGATCTAGCAGGCAAGGTTGACCTCCATTGCCCTCTGCTGGCCAGACTATAAACTCAGCTGTTATGTTTCCAGAGGAACTGAAAAGTACAAAGTAGGAAAGGAAATGAGTAGTCATCTGTCTCAGGACTAGGTCAGCCTAAAACCAGCAATTGTCATTGTTCTGCATCAGGGTATATTTAAAGGGGTTTTACATGAATAATCTTATTTGATCTTTGCACCCATTCTGCAAAGTATTAAAGATTGGTATTTTCATTTCACTAATGAAAAAAAGCAAATCCATTGTCACACCAGTATGACAAACTGCTTGACAGAAGGCATTGTTAGAAGTGAGATTTATTCACAATCCAACTATGAAACATAGAAGTTTGTCCTCACAGTGGCCAAAGAGAAGTGAACAGGGAAGCGGGCAATGAACAGATTATCTTCTATAAGGAATTATTACGTGAATGGGGGCTGGGGCTCAGTGGTAGAGCACTTACCTAGCACATGTGAGGCACTGGGTTTGATCCTCAGCACCACATAAAATTAAATAAAGGTTTGTGGCCAATTACAAAATAATAATAATAATAATAAATAAATAAATAAATAAATAAATAAATGCTGTTGCTGATTTAAGAGAGGCGGGTAGGGAAAAACAAAATTATTACCTCCTGCCACAAGCCTGGGGAAGCCTATTATGTAGGGCTGTTAATTCCTGGTGTCCCCTACCTCTACTTCCTCTTTCAGTAGTTAAGACTTGAATGTCAATAGAATTACCTAGAGAGCTTTTTACAGATGAAGTTTCCTGGATTTTACCTCATGGTTCTGATTCAGACAGGGGCCCAGGAATTTGCATTAAGGTTTTGTTTCTTTCTTTGTTTTGTTTTTGAATCCAGGGGTGCTTTACCACTGAGCTACATCACCAGTCCTTTTTAAATTTTATTTTAAGATAGCGTTCTCATTAAGTTGCCTAGATTGGCAGAGGATTGTAATCCTCCTGCTTCAGCCCCCCCCCCCCAAGTTGCTGGGATAAGAATCTGTATTTGGGGGGCTGGGATTGTAGCTCAGCGGTAGAGCACTTGCTTAGCACATGCGAAGCACTAGGTTCGATCTTCAGCACCACATAAAAATAAATAAATAAAAATAAAAGTATTGTGTCCAACTACAACTAAAAAACAATATTTTTTAAAAAAAGAATCTGTAATTGAAGATGTTGCTCCCTCTGACAGGAATCCTGGTGCAGGAGATCCAGAGACCACACTTTGAAAACCCCATAGTCCTCACAAAATGCTCTCCTGATACACCACAACCAGCAAAGAACCATCATTTGCCTGTGAAGGTGTTTTTTTCCTAGCCCCTCTTCTAAGTTTGTTTCCTTTGCTTATAATATCCTAGATAAGAAAACTCTAAGATTCAATCCCAACTCCTTTATTTATCCTCTCCAAGATTCAGTTTTTTCATCTGTAAAATGGGGTAATACCTACATCACTGAAGCATAATGAAGATTAAATGAGAAGATATGTCTCGCGCATCGTTTCTGACATTCACATGTTCAAAGTTCTTGCTTTCTGATGCCTAGGTTCCTTGAAAAGTAACTGTGATTCAAAACCTTCTTTTGGATTCCCACAGATTTTTAAGCATCCCCCCGCGCCCGGCATTGGTTCGCGCGCGGAGCGAGGAGAACCAGCTTTGGGCGCGGTGCCCGAGAGCACTGCGGTCGCGCATCCGCGGAGCCCGGTGGGGTCGGAGCGTCCGCTGTGCGGAGGTTGCCGCGTCGCGGTCATGGCTCTGAAAGTCCGAGTTGTTTACGGGTAAGCACGAAGGACAGGGGCGACTCCCTACCGCGTCTTCCGTGCGCTGGGAGCCGGGATGGGGCGTCGGGGGCTGGATCCCAGGCCCCCGGGAGGAGAAAAGCGGCTGGGTGGGGCCAGGAGGGGCGAGGGCCGCGGGGCGTTGAACCCCCGTTTGGGACGAGCGAGACGTCTCGGGTTGTGAAGGGTCCAGCGGAGACTGTGCGTGGCCACCGCAGACTCCGAGGGGCTTGGCTGCGGGTCGGGTGGATCTGTGCACTCATGGGACCCACCCCTCGGCTACACTCGGATTCCCCGCCCCCGAACAGCCCTTGTGTCAGGACGGCCTCCTGCAACTTCCTGGGTTTAGAAAAGATGCAAATGACAACGTTGGCGCCGCTGCCCGTGGGTGCCCGTGCTGCCAACCCCACTCTTCTCCGGCCACAGTTTCCCCTCGGTAGTGAGAAGAGAGCGAACTTAGTAGCTCCTGCCCAGGGAGCGCTGCACGCCCCCCACCCCCCGACTGCCTTTGAACCTATTTCCTCTGCTCAGAGGATCTGCCCTGGCACCTCATTCTATGCTGGCATGCAGTAGGTGCTTAATAAATACCTGTTCAATGAATTTTCTGCCCCCTGAGCCTTTTGAGGGAGGGGTATTCTAGCTTCATTTTACGGGGCAGGGAGAGGGGAATGCAGTAGGTCGAGGTCCTGGCTCAGATGCGCGCCACTCCAACCTGGGTGGCTGGCCCAATTGTCTGGGAAACCCACCCGGGATCCAGTAGGTCTTAGTCTTGGGAATGCCATGGCCTGTTAGAAGCACAGCTCGCTTGACATTTTGAGCTCCCAGGAGGCCTGTGCACCAGATTCCAGCCGGAAATGGCATCCTGGGTGTTGAAGGTGTTCAGGTTCCAGGAGCCACAGGGCTTCCTTCAGTGCTCTGGGCGTGCGCCCGGCCGAGGGTGCAGTTGTTTATGCAGCTCTTGTCCTAACCCAGTGCCCTCCATCCCTTCCCTGTTGCCTTACTCGCCTCATGTGGCCACATAATTGTGATCTGCTCATCCCCGTGTGTGGCCTCGGCCTCCCTCTCCTCTCTTTGCCCGGCTTGCCTCTTTTTCTGTGCTGTTTCCTATTACACTCTGGTGTCCGTGTGTCTTAATTTCCTTCTCTGCCTCTTCTGCTTCATTTCTGCCCATCTTATTCTCTTCTCTCCTGCTCCCCACAGGCATGGAGAAGGAGCAGTTGTTACCCAAAATCTCATGGCTGTCCGGCTCTGTCCTTCTCCAAAGAGTCCAGGAAGCAGATGGACTCTGCAGGACTCTGGCTGGCGGGGCTGTGGGCTGGCTCTCCAGCTGGGCCACCTGTCCACAGTGGAGGGCGCTCACACTAAGGCTCCCACAGGCAAAGGGATTAAAGGCTGTGGACCTCAAAGGACCTTTTTTTTACAGATATCAGAGCACAGGGGACACCCACTGTCACATGGGAGGTGACATGCTGGAGGGGAAAGCCCACCCTGGTTTTGAGAACCTGTTCACCCCTCTGTCCCTCATGCCCTCAAGGCTCCTTGTGGGGTCTCAGTATTTTGTGTCAGGGTCCTGGCACCATGTCCACACCCCCACTTCCAGCCCCAGCCTGTCACGTCCCTCCAGATCCCCACTAATTCTCCTGTGTTGTGCTGAGGCTGACCTGGCCTAAGAAGATTGGAGCATTTGGTAAATGGGACCAGAACTGGGTCATTGAACCAGCTGTGGGGACACTTGAGGACCAGGGTGGCCACGTGGGGACGGAAGGGGAAGGGAGAGGTGAAGACAGAAAGGGAGCACATTGATGCAATGAGAGAGACCATGGACCCAATAACTAGACACTGACCCACGCGTGAGTGGGCCTTTGACTTATTGTGAATAAGCTTCTCCATAAACCATTGCATCAGGAGGAAAAATCCCTACACCAGCCAGGCAGAGATTCTGGAGGCTGAGGCAGGAACACCTTTTGAGGCCAGCCTCAACAACTTAGTGAGGTTCTATTTAACTTGGGGACACTCTGTCAAAAACATAAGGGCTGGGGAGGCAGCTTAGTGACAGAACACCCTGGCTTCAATCCCCACCCCAAAAGAAAAACTGAGGCACTTCCAAAGGAGGAAGCCGAGCATCTCCCAAAGCCCCACTGCTGACTGCTACTGTGAGCCGTCCATGTGGTCTCGGAAACAGCCTGCAGACATTGTCCACGGCCACTTGAAAACCAGGCTTCTCAGTCCTGTCAGCCTCTAGAGATTTCCAGTAAATCCCTAGAGTACTCACTGGTAGAAAGCACTCAAGAGGGTTCCAACAGGTAACTGGAAAAGCCAGATCCTACAAATGAAAACAAACACGAATGGGAAAAACCTTTATTATGGGACTTTCTTCATGAGGGACAACGTGGTTAGGACACAAGCCAGCAGGTGGTCACAGCCTCACCTCTGGCAGGGTGCGGGGAAGCGTGAAGGGAAGGAGGTGCACCCAGGAACACCCATTCCACTCCTAGAGACCCAGACACACTCCCGGTGACTCAAACAGGTGGGGGTAACAAGAGATGGAGAGTGGCCAGAGGGAGGACCTGTGGGATGGGGCAGGTGCAGAACCCCCACCCACTCAGAAATCTCTTGGATCTCATTTGTCTTCCTCTTCAAGGACGTCTGGAAGGTCATGTGCAAGGCTCTTCAAGTGGCTTCTGGTTTGTCACCGTGTACCCCCAGGATGCGGGGCCTCTTGGGACGCTTTGCTGCAGGCTCACTCTCCTGGGCACTCACGGGGCTGGCACTGAACGCAAGCGCTTCCGGGGTTTCTTGGGCTGCAGGAGCCGGCACCTTCAGTGGATGGACATGTGCAAAATGAGTCAGGCCAGTAGCGGGGTTGCCAGGCCAGGCTTGTCCTGGTTGAGTGCACCAGGCAGGAGCCTGAGGGCTGGGAGGAGCGGCGGAATTTAATCCACTGCTGCATCATCGGAAGCCAATCCTGGGGAGACAAGGCAAAACAGAAAGATGTAGAGGAACTCTCATACCTGCCTGGGCCCCAGGTGGGAAGGTGCATGTGGGTGAGGGTGCTGGGCCCAGGGCATGTGCCTCTAATCCAGACATTTGGGTGGCTGAAACAGGATGGTGCGCTCAAGGCCACCCTGGGTCATCCAATAAAGGGCGGGGTGCCAGCTTGGTGGTGGGGAGCTGGTCTGACACTGGGAGCCAAGGCCCTGGGTTCTGTCCCCAGCTCTGCAAAAAGAGAACCAAAACAAAAAGGTCCCTTGGGCTCTGGAGGTGAAAGGCAAGGGGGAGAAACCCAGAGGGAGAGGACCCAGAGCCCAGGGATGGGGGGACTCTGCCAGGGGCTCCTCGGGTTTAGAAGGTGCATGGTTCTGGGTCCTGGAAGGGCACCAGGTAGCCATCTGGGCTGATTAAAGTTGTGTAGCACAGAAGGCAGAAGCTGAGCTTGGGGTCCAGCCAGAGCCCAGGAGGACCCAGGGTAGCTTGGGCCCCTGTGTGCCCCAGGCTTCTGCAGAGGGAGCACGGATGTGGCCCAGCCAGGGCAAGGTAGGGGTGTGGAGTCTCACCTCCACCTTTTGAGGGTCTAGGCGGATGCTGGAGGGCTTCAGTTCATCCAGCAATAGAAAACAGTGTTTAGGGAAGTGCGCCTCCAGCTCCTCCCTCTGCTCCTTGCTGAGGATCAAAATAGACCAATCGTGGGCCAATGGACCTGGGAGAAGAAGGAAAATCAGAGAAGCCCCACAGACCATCCCCAGCCACCCGCCATTGACACTGCCCTCCCCTGGGCCACAGGGACTCAGCTGGCAAGGTGGGCGGCAGCACCTTGGACAGGAAGTGATTACAGGCCTTCACCTGTAATCCCAGGGGCTCGGGAGGCTGAGGCAAGAGGATCCGAGTTCAAAGCCAGCCTCAGCAAAAAGTGGTCTGAGACCACTGAGACCAAAGGGAAATGCACTCTGGGCTTTAACTCATGGTCTGACAGCACTCAAGCCCCACAGACCGCCCCCTCCCCAGCCAGGTCACAGAGCCTTGGTAACTGCCCTCAGCCTCAGAAACCAGGAGGCTCTTGCCAGGACTCAAAGGGATTATAGGCCCCTGTCACCAAACCCTGCTACCAAGTTTCCTGTAAAAAGAGCTTGGAACCCCCAAGGGGCGTCTCCCGCTTGAGACTGGCCCCATTCTTCCTTCTTTACTTGTGGGAGGCCATCCTCCCACGTGATTTGAGTTCCCTCCCTGGCTGGGAGGGAGGCGCTTAGGCACATCTTGGTTCCAGAGCTTTCCCCACCCTTCTCGGGACTTGGACCCCAAAGACCCAATCTTCGCCCCTGACTTTGGGACACTGCCCCCTTAATCTTCATTGGATGGGATTTTCCCCAGAGTTTTGTTCCCCAATAAAAAGTCGACTCCCTGGAATATGTTCTCTCTCTCTCTCTTCAATAAACCTCCCTCCTCTAATAGGTAGCTGGAGGCTGGAGGTAGGTGAAGCTGGTTTGAAGGTAATTAGAGTCTGTCTCAAACTCCCTGAGGGTTCCTCACATAATGAGCCTTCATTTAGGAAGCCTGTGCTTTGAATGGTGCATGTTGGAGTTCTTTTTGCCAAGAAAACCGCTCGTCCCAAGCAGAGCCCCCCTACTCCAGGAACTCCCCCTTGGACCCCCCCTTCAGAGACAGCCCTTCTCCTGTGACATCCCTCCCAGCAGAGGCCCCGCGCGGCCCCCCAACTAGCTCACCCAGCATATGGCGAATTCTTTCGATCTCATCCATGGCCTCCATCTCTGTTTTCATCTCATCCCAGGCATCAATCCACATTTCCAACTCATACGCGGCAGCAATGGCTGTTTCTACCTCATTCCAGGCAGCGATCTCTCTTTCCATCTCTTCCAGGACAGCGACCTCTAATTCCATCTCTCCCATGGCAGCAGAGGCTCTGTTCAGAGGAGTGGGACAAAACCCTCAAGACCCCGGGCTTAAATAGCCCACCTGCAGGCTGGCCCAGCCCCACCTCCCCCGCCCCCTGAGGCCCGCCCTGGGAGGGGTTTCCTGGCTGTATCCAACTTCCCCCCAGGAGCTGAGGCTTGCTGTGGGGGAACCACAGAACCCACCCACACAGCCTCAGCTGCTCACCAGCCACTTCCCGGGGTGTCCTCCTTCCTGCCCGGGCCAGAGCCCCATCTCTTTAGGGCCAGGGATTTGGTCCACCACCCCACCTACCTGAGCCCACTCCAGTCACTGCTGCTCCAGCCCGGGGAGCCCCCAGCCTCCTCCCAGGTCCCCCAAGGACACACTCCACTCTCCAAGTTTCAGGCTGCAAGCCTAGGTTGTGACCTTGGCTTGGGCTGCTCTGCCCTGGGGCTGGAGGCTCAGGGGTGCACCCAGGGAGGGCTGCCGAGGTCTCCTGGGAGTGGAGTAAGAGGGCATCAGGATTCTGAAGGGACCCCTGGGTTTGATTCAGCCATCGTTAAACCACCACGGAAAGACAAGACCCCCCAACTCCAATTTAAAATAAATTAAAGCAAGCTTGTAATTCCAACCATCCGGGACTGTCTCTCCAGAAACCTGTGGGTTAGAGAACAGCCCCCCAGCTC